AAGGGTCTGGCTACCAGAATTCGTCGCATCTGTTCATCCCTTGCCTTATATCAGGAACAGAGCAGTCTCCTAAAGTCCCATTTATGCAATGGAGGCTACAAAGCCCACAACGTACAAACTGCTATTGATGAGATGGCAGGACACGACAGACAAAACCTGTTACTCTACAAGGAGAAAGAAAATAGCAGCAGGGTCCCTCTGGTAACCACATACCATCTCGTCCTTTAAGTACCTCAGCGGTATTCTTAAAAAGAACCTGCCAATTCTCCACTCTAACAAAAGAATGGCAGAGGTCTTAAGGAACCTCCATTGGCTGCCTACAGGCGCCCGAGGAACTTAAAGGACATGGTAGTTAGAACCAGATAAAAAATCCATTACCTAACGGAGGCTTTAGAGCTTGCTCTGACAGAAGATGTCTTCTCTGTAAGCACAGCTCTGACACAGACAGCTTTAAAAGCCCCGTTACAGGTCGCAGCTACAGAATTCTAGGGAATTTGTCTTGTCAAACACAAAACTGCATATATCTCATCAGTTGTAAAGTTTGTTCCAAACAGTACGTTGGGGAAACGGGAGATCTCCGCAGGAGAATCAATAATCACCGTTCGATCATTAAGACCAAGAAATTCAATAAACCCATTGGGGAACATTTTAACCTTGAAGGTCACAAATGGGAGGACATGACAGTAGTGGTTATTGACCATAATCCGAATTGGACTGATGCTCAGAGAAAAAGCAAGGAAAAGTTCTGGATGCACAGACTGAAGTCATTCCGCCCTAATGCTATCAACAAACTAAATGACTTCACCAGGATGAAAGTGAACTAGACACAATTCCTGATTGTAACAAACAAGTTTATTCTCTCTATATAGTGTTAACTTTACCGTTAATTCGCATTATCAATTCTGGAACAACCCACGCACAGATTTTTTGCTTACATTTTTGTTTATTATTTCTTTTATCCGATAAACAGTCCTAAAACATTTCCAAATGACATGTATAATACATCTAAATTCATATTGTAAAATTTCCCTTCTATATTATCTTTCTTTGGTTTCTTTTTATCATGTAAAGTTACGCTATTTTGAGAGAATAAGACAGTGTACGATTTACTGCTTGGCCCTAATTAATTAGCGATAATTAATTCGTTCAATTATGTAAATCGCACTTCACCAGAGTACACCCGAGAGACGGAACGTATTTCATAGCGGTCCGGATTTCTTTCTTTACAACTGATTATAAACTTCAAATTAAACACGTAACAATGTAAATAAATAGTGTTTGGTAGTTTAGTAGTAGTGCTAGCCGTTTTTCCTTTATTTTTATGACTTCTTAACTTTTTTCTTTGTCCTGAGGAAGAGACAGGGCGTCCCGAAAATTTGATAATTTCTGTTGTTCGTGTCGTTGATCATTTTTAGTGCTTTATATAAATTTCCATCCTTGACCTTGTATCTATTTAGTAGATCCGACACTTAGGATATACAGTGTTGTTGGTTTTTGTAGTGCTTTCTATATATATATATATATATATATATATATATATATATATATATATATATATATATATATATATATATATATATTAGGGATGTCAAATCGGTCAATATTTGATAATCGGTTACTCGGGCGTTTTTCCGATCGAGTACCCGGGTACTCGGTAAGAATATAAATACAATTGTATTAAATTTCTTGGGCCCTGTTAAGCTCTGTTAAACTCCAAAGCTGTTTTTATCTCGTTTATAAATGTATATAAACATCGAGTCCAACGGGAATGATTTTTTTGGTACTAAATTTTATCAAATAAACACAAAAGACACAATTAATACACCAAAAATTAAAAAAAAAAATGTTTACAGTTCTTCTTTAGGATCTGTTTCATCAATGCAAAAGGAGGACAATCTGTTACGCATGTTTGTGATGGTTAGACTAGCGAAAGAGAAGGAACGGACGTTGTTGGGATCGCTAGTTTAATATTATTTCATATGCTGGTTGTTTCCCCCGTATACACTAAACTTACTACGCAAACTGACTTTCAACATTTTTGAAACTTTAATTATTTCTAAATATTTCCCAACTTTTGAAGTGGGTAGCAACATTTATACGCATGTCTGATTTCGCTGCCATATATTAACTTAATAATTTAAAAATGCTTTGAAGATAATGGAGCATACTTAAACGAAGTTTACTGAAAAAAATCATTGAAGCCATCCAAAAATTAAGGACCACAATAGGTGAGAACAGCTGTACACCAGGTGATTGGTCACTAATTGCTGTATATACCGTAGGCGATAACGGGTGTTTTACAGGTGAAGATGACGACACGGTAATTACCGTATGCATATTTAAGTTTTTTTTTTTTGATAAGTTTTTGATAAAAATATGTACTTTGAAATAAGAAAAAATACGCATCCGAGTAACCGAGTAGCATTTTTTGTATTCGATACTCGGTCGTTCGATCGAGTACCCGGTTAACCGGGTACTCGTTGACATCCCTAATATATATATATATATATATATATATATATATATATATATATATATATATATATATATATATATATATATATATATATATATGATAGATAGATAGTTAGGTAATGTCCAAATAACTGTATCTCACTTCCATTCTCAATGACCGTGTAGTGTAGGACAGCGCCGCAAGAATTCCAACGGCATCGAAAGCAAGTTTTTGGACTTGCATGTACCTAGATGGCCGAGTGGTCTAGCGCGCTGTTCCAGTACCGCTAGTAGACAGATTCCGTAGGTCGAGAGTTCAACCCCGGGTTGGGGCGGAAGTGGGTATCCTTATATTACATCTCGATCATTTCTAAAGATTTAACAAGATAATGTAATATGACATCCTCGGATATTTTCCCTTTTCACTAATGCTCCTCTGAAACATTTCCTGGTATCTTTCGTGAGCTTCTTGAATTCATCCTCTCCTTCACCAGAATTATGTCACAATTAGATACCATTCACAACACAGTACTGACAGTGGGGTACGTGTTGTAATGTCGGTACTGATCCAGGATTGCTTTATACTTGACTAGAAATCTCTGGAGTTTTAATGATACTCGAATGGATAACAAGAATTATATTCAAACAGGCTGAAATGTGGTGGGCCCCTCGGGCCATTTCCGCTTGGATCTAACAAAGGAAGTGCATTTAGCCTTAGTTGCAAGATGAGGCGCTTTCTCCAATGGAAAACAGTGCAAAGACATGCCATCTGAGTGAGTACTTGAACACTTGGCAGCTTACCTTCTACCCCTCCTTATTTCGTCTGTAGTTTCACATGTTCACACACATTCACGTGTTTCGTTGTATGGTGGGAGCTGGATGTTTCACATATCACACAAATATATTGGATTGCAGCAAATTTTCCTTTTTATTAAAAGGTTATAAATTTGAGATGGATTTTCACAGATATGTTGAAAATGTCAGTATACTATTGGAATATATATTTAATATGTTCAAGATAAGTTGAAATTTTGAAAATTTGAATTTTGAAGAAAGACAGCAAAAAGCTTGATAAAATTCAATGAAATCTGTAAAATTCACAAAATGATCTTTAAAAAAATCACTTTTCAAGCTAAAAAAAAAATTATGAAATCATCAAGATAACGAGATGAAGTACAAATTCAAAGACAGTACTTCATGGTACTTTGAAAATTCCCGTTTATAGTGGAAAACTTATTAATTTTTTACAACAAGTTATGTTTCAATATTTGAAAGTTTGAGATCATGTGAAAGGCAGTTATTTTAAAGTAGGTTTAATGAAAAAGAGATAAACAAACAACTGCATGTTGAAGTGGTTAGCTATAGCTATGCATTCAAACAAGATAAAAGATTTTAGTTTAGGGTCTCCGGAGGAGCAACAGAGATTAACAAACAAAATTGGGGAGAATCAAATAATAGATCAAGCATAATCTTATATAAGTAGGTACATGCAAGTAAATAAGTTTTCTTGTTTATAGTGACGTGTACATTTTCAGACAGACGGATTTAAATCGAACACCCGGTCCATCAGGCCTATATGCACAAAATTTAAATAAAGATAATAATGAGTTCATGGAGATAACTATCCTTGAATCCAAGAAATGGAAATTTTGACTTTTTTTTTCAGTTTATTTACACCTGCAAGTTTTTGATTGTGCATTGATATACATGCATATATATTTTTCTCTGAGTTCATGCGTCTATTTATGACATTCGCCATTTATATGGTGCTAATGTAACAGGAAGTTTGTTGATTTTATATTTCACCTACTTCAAGAATTTGGCTCCCAGGAAATGCATGTCCTTAGATAAGAGTTTTTTTCTTTATGCAAAATACTCTTTCCTGCAGTGTCTTCCATTTTACGACAGACACATAGTTTCTGTCAATATGACTACGTATGGTAACAATACTTATTATACCCCCGCTTGAAATGTGATAGGGTGTCCGTCCGTCATGCTGCACGTCTGTCCGTCCGCTTTGGGGTACCACCTCTTATCCGCAACTCCTCTTATACCAAATCGGAAATAAATTTTAAGATCTAGTAAATGACTTTAGACTGTCTTCAATTTGATATTAATTTAAAGAAGAGGATAAGAAGAAACAAATTACCGTTTTCTGAGAGACTGTAGGCAATCTGGATACATTTCCTTTGTCCGATAAAGAAAAAACTCCCATACTCATGACTGATTTTATTAATTTTTCATCAAAAAGACAGTTTAAAATATGATTTTTCATCTTGTTTACTTACAAAATATGCCCCGATACACCTTATTTGACCAAGCTATACTTAATAAGCATCTTTAAAGGAACTTATTTCTCAAATTTGAGAAATCTTTAGGCTCCTTTCATTTACTAGATCTTGATCTTAACGCCATTTCCGTAAAAACGTTTTTTTTTTCTAATGATTTAAAGGTTGCCTCACATTTACAATACTTATTTTCTAAATTAGAAAGAGGATCATTAAAGCGAGAAAAGAAATCATAGTTTGAGTAAAATTGTCTGCAAAGTGTTGATGAATTGAACAAAGTCCGAGTGGCTTCATGATTGGAAGACATACAATGTATAATCTCATAAGTGAGAGGTCCGGCTAGTTATCAGTTTCATGCGACTCGTTTCTGAGATAAATAAACTCTGGCCGCTATCTCGTAAACTAAATTGAAGCATTTGTGTTTATCTTATATTGTAATCAACACGCATCGACCCAGATTTTGGCTGCGGAGTGTGCCTTTGGAGAAGTTTGGCAGGTGTAGTGGTTTGAAAACCGGAGAGAAACCATGTCTTCTTTCGCCCCGACATCCACGAGTGGTTCCAAAGATGATGATGCAAAGTACAAAGAATTTGATGCACCAGATGCAGAATTCTTCAAAGGTAAGGTTTATAAGATCGATAGTCTGTTGATTGATTTCTACAAGAAATACGTTTTAACTTCTTTGTGCGTGTTAAACAGGTGCCTCCCCAGATCTGAATTTATCTTTCAATGCATTCGTTAGCATCCATTCCGTTCGTCTGCCTACAGCATGAAACCAGTCCCTATCATGAAAAATATTTCACACATTAATCATGTTTAATTGTGCTATTAAAGCCCTCACTTGACATCGAGATCTTTACTTAGGTAAACTAGTTAAGGGATGGTGAAGTACATTGTACACATATTAAAACATAAAACATTCACTTTAATTGCATCCATTGAACTATCAAATATATTTATCATTTTTCCAGGTCGGAATTTCCTGTTAAAAACATTTTCGATTGTATATTATTTAGATGTATATCTAATATGTACTCTCTCACTTGCTCTCAAGCACAATATACTCATTATAAAAATTAAAGTATCCTATGATAAAAAAGAGTTAGAGGTCATAAAAAAGGACTAATTCACATGTCCTAAAGGCTGAATGTCCAGTTTCTAGCTCAACATTTAATTTTATTTCAAAGAAAATATAACAATATTTTTAATGTAGACTAGATACCCAATATAGTTCCCTTCTGAATCTCGACTATACTTTATATAAACCCTAATGAGAGTGCTCTGTAACAGGATTTATCTAGTCTTGACACATTCAAGTTTATGTAAAACCCAGGCGCGGATCCAGGTGTTTTTTTTTTCCAGGGGGAAGGGGGGGTCCACTCCAGTCCAGAAATTTGTTGACATGCAGAAGTAGAAGAAAAAAGAAAAGAAGGAAACGTGAAAAACTTATTCCGCGGGGGGGGGGGGGCGCGGAGGGGAGGGGTGTGAACCTTTTTCTTTCACTTCCTAAGCTCCGTATGTATGACTCTTCCTACCAGCTCAAAAGTGGTCCAAAGTCACTTAATAACAAATTTCGAGGGGGGGGGGGGTCCCTCTCTAAATCCGCGCATGAAAACTATTTTATATTCAATAGTTTGAAGTGTAAAGATGGGAAAGGGGGTGCTTTTGTATTGCAGACAAATTCAATAAATATTTTTTATTCTTTGTTTCTCATGCGGGAAAAACATGATCCTATGTTTCTAATCAATACTTATAAATGTACTTTATGTATATTCAAATGTGCGAAATGTGACTTCATGTTGTTTAGATGTTTTCTTAATTAACGATGTTGAATCCATCATTGTCCATTTCAGGAATCGGCAAAATCCCTTTGAAAAGGGATGCTGGTGCCGGCGAAACAATGGTATTCAAAACATATGAACCAGAAAAGGTATTGTATATGAATGTCTTTATGAATTAGATACAGTATTCATAAAAATGGGTTATATGTCAAACTATTTGGTATATTAGTCCATAGTTCATAAAATATTGCCTAAAAGAACGAATATAACTGAATAAAATAACTTTACTGAATTTCAGCAAGTTATGGGAAGATCAATGAAGGATTGGCTTCGCTTTTCTGTATGCTTTTGGCATACATTTCGTGGAACAGGTATTTTGATTTAGTTTTTAATAGCTCCAAGTACAAGTTGGTCTTTGCAAAACTAAAATGAAGCTAACAGTGTACTCTTAATCAATTTAAGAATATATTATTATAGTTTAATAATCATGAAACAAGTGAATTTTTAAGCAGGAGTGTTCGAATCTGTTTGTGTTTGTATCTCTTGCAAGTCTGTACACTTCTTCAATACAGATATAACGTGCTGGACCAAGTGTAAGAGTGAATTATGAAGGGACTTTACCAGTTATATCCCTGTTAATAATTCTTTGATTTGTGTATTTTCAAATCAATGAATTTGCAAACCTTAACGGTCTACCCAAACGAAAAAAATCTTAAATTCCCTAGGTCTACCTATTTCTCATCTGAAATTTGATCACTTGTTGCCCGTCAATCATAGCAAGGTAATCTTGCTACTAGTACATAAAACGACATAACCTTATTGTTTTGATTACTTAAAAGGTGCGGATCCCTTTGGTTTTCCCACCTTAATCCGCCCATGGGATGATGGAAGTAGCTCCATGGCCAACGCTAAGAGGCGTCTGAGGGCTGGGTTTGAATTCTTCACAAAACTTGGTGTTCCGTATTGGACATTCCATGACAGGTAAGAAACAAAGTCACAAGGAATTACTTGTGTTTATATACATCATTTTGACAAAACTTGGTTATTGTAATGAATTTCAGCATGGCATTTACCCTTTGGATGGTTTTGTAGACAAGCTTCTACGATGCATGAAAATCTAACGAATGTATATTTTAACAGAGACATAGCGCCAGAAGGGGCCACCCTGGCAGAAACCAACAAAAATTTGGACGAGATAGTTGATCTTGCCCAGGAGCTACAGAGCAAAACCGGAGTAAAACTGTTGTGGGCAACATGTAACTTATTTGCTCACCCAAGGTATGGTTTATAAAAGAGAAATTAATCTAATTTCTATAATAATAGAGCAAGATGATAAATAGTTTCGATTTTTGTCGTTAGCTTAGGGATGCCATTTTTAGCAATGTAAACATTGTAATATGTGCAGCGTAGTTAGTGTTCATAAAATGTTGAATAAAATATATGATAAATTTAAGCATCTCCTACTATTTATTGTGAAAGTTTATAATTTGGGTTTTTTTTTAAAGATACATGAATGGAGCTGGTAGTAACCCAAATTCCCATATCTTCGCTATGGCGGCGGCACAAGTCAAGAAAGGTCTGGAAGTGGCCAAAAAATTGGGTGCAGAAAATTTTGGTATGCGTTAAGATTAGTTGAATTACTAAGTAATAATATTACTTACGCATTTAATGGGAAAAGATGTATTCTATATATACAGTACTATTCACTTTTCAAAATGACTTTTTATTTTAAAGTGTTCTGGGGCGGAAGAGAGGGCTACCATACAATCCTCAACACCAATGTTCTCGCAGAACTCAACAATCTGGCCACGTTCTTTAGAATGGCAGCAGGTAAAATAACACGTTAATGTTACCTTTATTTATAGCGGTACCTTATTAACTTTAACCGATTAAGCGGTCGGGACGTTCTATGGTTAACCGATTAGCAATTCTGTATTCGATTGCCATCCCTAATAAATATGTATACTAATTTTAGACGTTTATATCCTCAGATTACAAGAAGAAAATAGGATTTACGGGGACACTGCTGATTGAACCCAAACCAAAAGAACCCGCTAAACATCAATATGACTACGGTATATATTTATTAAGTTTATCTCCTAAATACGGATATAAGTGCTGACCATTTTGATAAATCTTATAAAAGAAAAAATTAATGTAATATTTATGTTAACAATAAAAATATGCGTTTTAGACGCCATGACAGTTATCGGTTTCCTGAAGCATTACGGACTGGACAAAGACTACAAGGTAGACACACATCAGCTTATTGAAAAAAATTAAAAATCTGTCAGTGTATTGTATTTTATCTAAACCTTCTATTCTTATTTGGTTTTAAAAACTGTAGAAAACTTATTTGATAAAACGTTTGATCATACAGCTTAACATTGAGCCAAACCATACCACTCTGGCTGGCCACGGTTACGAACACGACATCGTGATGGCGTCGGCGTGAGTACTTTTCATCGTTGTTGAATTCTTCCAAAATACATCTTTCATTTTAATATTATACATGTGTATGGAAATTGTTATTTTCAAGAAAGATATAAAATTATTGCTGTCATTTTTGATTTTCTTAAATCAAATGAATTGGAATCAAATACAAAAATGTCCTGTATTGACCCTCCAGGTTCGGTATGCTGGGCTCTATCGATTCTAACACGGGTTCTCCAGACCTAGGCTGGGATACCGACCAGTTCCCTATGGACATCAAAAACACCACCATGGTCATGAAGGTATCTTTAAATCAAATCAATTCAAGATTACATATTTCATCAACGATTTTTTTTTTTAATCAAAAAAAGATTAAATGCATTACAATGTACAAGTATTTTTTTAATGCTACTGGATCATGGACAGAATTTGATACTAGTATTTTAAACAGCCAATTCTTGTCAGTAAAACATTCTCAAAATATTTCATGATAGTAAATATAAAAAAAAACTTATAAGAAAAAGAAACTTGAAATTTTTCTTTGAGAATAATCTAGCATTAGAATGCATACATGTAGGTATCGCTCAGAATTTCGAAGTACGTGCATGTTGCTTATAATCATGGCCTAGGTGAAACTTGTATATGACATTAGATGTTTGAGAGTGTAGATGTAACTAACATTTGTTAAATGAAAGATGTTGCTATATATTCTTATACCTTAATTTTTGTTCCACATGCTCACGGGCATAAGTTAAAAACTCACATTGTACCTATCTTGACAGACAGTATTAGAGCAGGGTGGACTGTCTCCCGGTGGATTGAACTTTGACTGCAAGGTCCGCAGAGAATCCAGTGAATTACAAGACATGTTTATCTCACACATAGGTAAAATATCGAATTTTTTTAACCAAAAAATTTCTATATTATATTTTTAAAGCATATCAATATACTGAGTAATATTATGGATCTGATCATTTATCTGTTCTTTGACAGGTGCGATGGATTCTTTTGCGAGAGGATTGTTGAATGCTGAAAAGCTTCTCTCAGATGGGGTTATTGCAAAACAAGTGAAGGTTATTTCTGTTAATTGATTGTAGCATGTTTTATAAATAGTGATAAATAAAATGCAGACAGACACTCTGGAGATTTGGACTGGAATGAAACAATTAAATTTGATTTTAACTTACGCAGATTGCCCATGATGCTAGATTCATGGATTTCATTTAGAAAGTAATCACAATGTACACGTATTACATACATACACTTAATATATATATATATATATATATATATATATATATATATATACATACAATAAATAAGTATTATCTACATGTGTAGGAAAGATACAGCTCATATGAATCTGGGATTGGCAAAAAGATTGCTGATGGCCAAACATCTTTTGAGGAACTAGAGGTAAGCATGATGTTGATTTGAAGTTAATATGTTCACAATGAAACGAATTGGACATTTTTCAAAATTCACATCATACTATATTTATTCCAAATATCTTTCTTTCTTTTTTATCAAATAATCATTATAAACATTGTATTTTCAAACAGAAATATATCCTTGAAAACGGAAGTCCAACAAACATAGCCTCGGGTCGCCAGGAGCATTACGAATCCATGCTGAACCACTACGTTTAAACCTTCATTGTGAAATGAGTACACAAGACCGATCGAAAAAATAGACTCTAGTGATTTCTAAAGTTTCATGACACAAAATTATTAAATCCACTTTATTAAGTTCAGTTACAAAAAAATATCTCCAAATGTTGTTGAAAATGACTATTTTGGCATCGTATACTGCAGTATAGGTCTGGATCTTGTAAAATCATGAAAATAGCTCTTGTTATCTAGATGAAAAATGTATGTACATTGAAGAACATCGATGTGTTAATAATAACATCTAGATATATTGTTGTTTCTTTTTAGCCAAAAAATATAGAAATATGTAAACTTTTGATATGTAATTGTAATTTTGAAGAGAACAGTCATGTTCTCACACAACCATGTGATATATATGGAGAACCAAATTAACTTTAATGAATATTGAAATTATCGCCCATTCGTTTGATGCACGTAACAATTCAATTGTACTTTGTAGAGAGCAATAATTGAATTATTGCGCGCAATAATAGAATTATGCTCTTTTCGATTGAATTAATGATATATTTTTTTCATGAAATGCACAGAAAAATTCTTTTAGAGAAAGCAACTACCAGTTTATGTATATATGCATTTGTATCTATAGATATATCGGCATGCCAGATTAATTCAACATAAAGAACGAATTAATAGAATTATTGCGTGTAGAAAAAGACATTTTTAATCATTTACTTGAATTAGAAATATCTTCAAGAAAATATTTGTACATGTGTCTTACACTTATAAAATACATGTACCCATCTAATTTTACTTTTTCGAGCAATGATTCCGCCACTGTAAAGCCTTTTCAACTTATTTGATGCGAGCATTAATGTAATTGAGAAGAACAATAATTGAACTGTCGAACGTATCAAAATAATAGCTGCTTATCTCAATTGATTTGATGCTCTCGTTAAATGAAATATTCATTTCATCCCTATAACGAGATCTAGTAAATATAGAACTACTATATGAAAAGAAGGTCTCTTGCTATGACCCAATTCAATTGGACATTTAGATAAGTCAGTGATGTCTTATCGTACAATTAATATTCATTTCTATTCATACGTACTTTGATTCAATATAAAATAAAAGACACTAGAGTGTCTGACACATCTACATCATGTTTGGATACTTTACTAGAGAAAGATATTATAATGGCAAATTAAATAAAAAAAAAAAAGCATATATACATATATTTTCGTAAAACTAGAAAATATTTAGTAAAACATTTTCTGTAATTTAAAATATTGGTGACATACTGGTTATTTAAAAAGAAACTTTGTTTTCATTTATATTGGGTTGAAATTCTAATGTTTGAATTAACAATGAAAAGTGGCTGGTCCATGGGAAGAGTCCAGCCCCCTCCCCTCCACACACACACACTAGATAGTTTTTTTTTTCTTTTTTTCTTTTATTTAATTATTTAGTTATTTATTTTTTGGCTCTGACAACTTTTTTGCAATCTTTATGGCCTCGTGTATGTTGGAGAAACCAAGGGCTCACTCAACAAGAGAATGTCGGGACATTAAATATTGTTTTTGTTTTATTTTGTTAATTTTTCTTTTATCTGTTATTTATTTCTTATTTTATTTCATTTCTTAGCTCACCTTAGCCAAAATCTCAAGGAGCTTTTCTGATCACCCAAAGTCCGGCGTCCGTCCGTCTGTAAACTTTTCACATTTTAAACTTCTTCCCAAGAACCACTGGGCCAGTTTGAACTAAACTGGCACAAAGCCGGAAAACTTTTCACATTTTCAACTTCTCAAAAATCACTCAGCCAATTTTAACCAAAGTTGGCTCAAAGCGTTTTTGGGCAAAAAAGATTCTAAATTGTTCAAACGAAGAGCCACACCCCCTTCCTACTTCCTAGAGGGAAATAATCAAGAAAAGACACAAAATAGTGTGGGGCAATCCTCTTCTCGAGAACCACTGGGCCAAAAACAATGAATCTTTTGTGGAATCTTCTTGACTTAGTGTAGCTTCTAATGTTCAAATCATGGCCATCGATCGGAGGTAGGGTGGGAACACAATAGTTTACATTGAAATATATAAGATTAAAAAAAAAAACAAAAAAAAAACAACAACAAAAAAACAACTTCTCAAAAACAACTGGACCAGAAAAGATCAAACATATGTGGAAGCTTCCTGAGGTAGTTTAAATTCTAAATTGCTCAAAATAGATATGCCATCATATGGTCCGGGGAGAAGGGGGTAAGGAGGGGCCGAAATAGGGGGTCGGGGTTTTACATTTCTTGAGGTAGTGTACATTCTAAATTATTCAAAACATGGTTCACGGTAATAGGGCAGGGCAACAAGACTTACATTGAAATATGTAGGAAATATATTTAAAAAGTTTCTTCTCAAGAACCACTCTACCACAAAAGACGAAACTTACGTGAAAGCTTCCTGAGATGGTGTTCTATTCTTAATTCTTCAATTCTTTGCACCCATGGGTAGGTGGGGTCACATTAGGGGATTAAAGTTTTACATAGAAATATATAAGAAAAATCTTTTAAAATCTTCTCAAGAACCACTGCACCAGAAATATTGAAACTTAAGTAAGAGCATCCTGAGATAGTGTAAATTCTAATCTGTTCCAATCATTGCCCCGGGGGGAGGATGGGACCACTATAGGGATTAAAGTTTTACATAGAATATATATATATATATATATATATATATATATATATATATATATATATATATATATATATATATATATATATATATATATATATATATATATATATATATCTTTAAAAAGTTTTCTTTTCAAGAATCAGTGGACCAGAAAAGATGAACTTATGCCACAGCTTCTGTACATAATTAAGATTCTAGGTTGTACAGTATTTATGGTCGACGGGGGTAGGGTGGGACCACAGCAAGGGATCAAATTTTTATATTGAAATATATAGGGAAATATATTTTTAAAAAATCTTCTCAAGAACCACTGAACCAGAAACAATGAAACTTAAACTAAAGTATCCTGAAGCAGTGTAGATCCTAGGTTGTTCAAATATTGATCCCCGGGGTAGAGTTGGAACACAATTGGGGGATCAAAGTTTTACATTTTTATAGATAGGGAAAATCTTTTCTTTTTCTTTTTTTTTTTTAAAAATTCTTCTCAAGAACCCCTGAAGCTGAAAATTGGTATTTAATTAGTGAAAGCTTTCTGGGGTAGTGTAAGTACCGTCCAAACCTACACGGTCACAACTGCAAGACCATGCTAATCATACTGGTATTGGGCCATTCTCATGTTGTGTAGATTCAGAGACCCCTTAGGGTGGGACCAAAACATTGGTCACAAATATTTCATCAATTCACATGGAATATGCAAATCTTTTATTAAAAAAAAAAAAGAACTGCAAAGCTAAAGTTACTCAGGTGAGCGTTGTGGGCTTGTGGCCCTTAGGTCTTTTAACCACTTACCCCCCCCCCCCCCCCCTCCAGACCCCTTTATCACTGTTTATAGGAAAATTTGGCTTTCAAGTTTTTACTTAAGACAAAGACACCAACTGGGGTATATGAATACAAATGATACAACAAAATATAATGTTATGTGCATGCAACGTGAAATAGAGTTGTGTCCCTTTATGGAACTCTTTAGTGTATGAAGATGAGCAGATGAAAAAAAAACAGACACACTAGACTAGCTGAGGGAGAAATATTATATTTATCATGGGGAACACAGATACAAAGCTAAATTTTAGGAAAGCAGTGATTCAACTTACTACAAAGACACAGGTAAAGAACCATTCTGACGTTTGGGTTTTGAAATAAAAATTGGTTTATCGTAATTTGCCAACATGTCGGTAGCTGCACGGATCAATAAATTTCCAATAATAGGATATCTATGACGTGCAAAGGATTTCGATATAGAAAATTTCATAGGATTCTTGTAGAATAGACTTGATAATTTTTTTGTAAATATATTCTTATACTTAAATTTGATAGATTTGATGGGTTTAGGCCGTTCAAATCCTAAATCTAGTAACAATATCAAGATATGAAAAAATCTTTCAGCCCATTGAAGCAAATGACGAGGCATTTTGGGAACAGTTTTGGTCAGAAAGTGTCACATGTGTCCAAGATGTATTTACACTAATCCCTGCTGCAGAAATTAGGGCATTGAGGGAAGAATCTCCATCAAATCTAGCCACACTTTGTTATAAAGCTGTTGAGAAATTAGTAGCTGCTGCAGAGAGTGGGTGTCCATCTCAGAGAGAACAACAAACAGGTACACAAAGAAACAAGATTAAGGAATGAATTTAAAAGCTCCCAAGTTATAATGTATAACCTGGGTTGGGGCAGTATATGCTATATAAACCATGAAGCAGTTTATAAAAAAAGCGTAAACTGTTCCAACCCAGGTTATAATGTACCAGTATAACTTGGGTAGCTATTAAATTCATTCGTTATAATTTAATTTTATCAATAAGTGTAGAAAATAAGACAGTTTCTCCTTCAAAAATGCCTTCAAATTATTCATATTTTAAATGTAACGTCAAGCAGATTTATACATTTTTTGACGTACATCATTGTGACGTAGGCAAAAGAGGTTATACAATATAAAATAATTTTTTTATCCAATCAAATGACGCGTTACAAGGAAAACTAAATTATTTAGTATTATTTCAATGTAAATGATTATGGAAGTACACATAAATACATACACATACTGTACGTGTACATAAATTGGTGTATTCAAAATTTAGTGCAATCACTGGGTATGGAGTTGTTGGCGAAATCATGAATTAGCGCTATACATGTCCGTGCCGTATATTGTATTTATAAATGATTTCTTGGGTATTCAGGAATTAGCGCATCGTTGTCTGCGCCAAAGCCGCTAAAATATGAAGCCCGCTTTTTTAAGTACACATACAGTATACATTATGACATAAGTATGATCATCTTCTTTACGCTGAATCAAGCATTGCAGTTATTTTCAAAATTAACTCAAAAAGCAAAATGTAGGTTTAAGATTTTAACCAGTGAAGCTAATAAAGTGACAGTCACACTTCAACAAATACATGAATGTATGCTAACGAATGAAATAAGACAAATAGGCTGGTGTACATTGAATGTGTTTTGGATAAGTTTTTAACAATTAAGTTATGAACAGAAGGCTGAAAGTATGGTGATACACGTTTCTGAGTGCTGAATGCAAACTAAAACTTTGTGCAAGCATTAAATTTTCATTGTATGCCAATATTATTTGTAAGTTGGTCAAAAGCGATGTACAAAACTGTTAAGTTTTTTATATATATGCCAGCATGTTTGATAAATTTTTCTTACCATGTCTGCAGGGATCGACAATAACAGTTGTCCGATTGCTTGGGACAAGTAAATTCTCAGTTCAGGCAAGTGAAACTGTTGACTTACTTGTCTGATCGGGCAAGTGATTTTTTATCATAGAGATGTAAATATTTATTTAGTTTACATTTATTTATAAATTTGAACACTTGATTTCTGCCAGATACCTGACTGCAGACATCGATTTGCATTCGGAATTCCTTAGTAGCATTTTTAGATTAAACCTTCCATTAAAAAATGGGGCTCGTTATTCTATTTTCTTTCTTGGTAAATACGTTCTACATCTAACAACTTTGTTAAATTCTTATCAGGAAATTTGATTAGTTACATGATGAATCCCAATTAAGATATGTATGTCTTTCTTTACCTTTTCTTCACAGTTATCTCTGAAATTAATAAAAGGATTCTACCGAAAATATTTTTTTAAAATATGATTTTTTTTTGGAAAAAGAAAAGTGGAGGATAATTACTGCATGGCAGTGTGTGTTAACAGATTAAATTGACAAGGACAGTGATACACATTTAAAAAACAAATGCAGCATCGTTATGTTTTCATGAAAATCAACTTGCCAAAGTGACAGTAGTGTATTTGGTCAACTTTTTTCATGTCAAAACATTTACTGTATTAATAAATAATATTCTTAATTCCTAATTTTGGGCAACCAAGTTTTGCATTCGGACAAGTCAAAGTTTGAGAACACTTGCCCAAAGGGCAAGTGAATCTGAAAGTTAATGTCTATTCCTGGTCTGTCTAAAACATTGTAGTGTGACAGGACCCTTAGAAGTAGGGATGTATATATATAGGCAATATCTTTTGGTATTTTCTCAGAGCAAGTGGCTAAGTAACATAGTCTTAAATTTCCTTTCAGTTTTAAATTGTGTGAGACTTCTGACCCGCATTTTACCTTACATATTTGAGGACCCTGACTGGAGGGGATTTTTCTGGTCTACACTACCAAATCAGTCTGAGGAATCTGAGGTATTTAAGGGACATTGTCATAATATTTTGCAAATTATACATGTATAACTGACAGAAAAGTAATGATGGTCTAGAATATATAGTTTTCCTCTTGTAGATTTAATATAAGGCTCTTTTGTGTGTTTGTCAGTGACATTCGGGCTAAATTTAAACGATATATTTAGCTTAATTTATAGAATCAGAATATAGAAGTTTTCATAAAGTTAAAGTTCTTAAATCTTTGTTGTCAGGGGTGCTTTTTATAGTTTGCTTATTTTGTAATTCTAAAATGACTTAATTTTTAAGAAATTGATTCCCTTTTTTAAATGATTTTTGGAATTCTTTTTGTCAAATGAAAATGTTTCTCTTTTCCAGATTGAAAGCTCACCACTTGCACAGTCTTTACTAAATGCATTATGTGTGAGTATTTTTGTCACACGATTACTAAAAATTATAATGTATATGAAAAGATACATCCTCCTTGAAAAATAAATGCATGCACTTATTCTAAAAGATCAGAGTTCTTTCTTAAGATATTCCTGTCTAAGAGAGGTTTTCCTTTCTTAAGGAAATAGTCTGAGGTTATTTAATATGTGTGATAATTTGTTCTACAAGGTACCTTTAAATCAAAAATTGCTGATTCAATGAAACCTAAGTAAGGCCATCAGGTCTTTAGATAGTTTACAGGGTGATAATTTGTTTGCTATCAGGCTACATGTATATCCATATATATAAATATATCTTTTCTATGAAGATGTAGATGACAAAGGACAAGGTGTGGTAATGGCCCAATCTGACCCCTTATTTAATGTAAAAATCAGAACACAGTTAAAATTGTGATAGTTTGTAGTTAAGAACTTAAAATGATGCTTGTTTGAAAACCAGCACTAATTTAGATTCAAAGCTTACACGGAGGCCACAAGAGGGTGCAAAAGTAGGACATTTTCCAGAATTTCCTCAATTCTGGTCAAATTTTGTCAAATTTGAGATACATTTCACTTCGGGAAACATAGAGCACAAGCTTGCCTATCTGAGATTTTTATACACAAGATGCATCTGATGCTAGTGTATGAAATATATAAATTTGGTAGATAGGCAAGCTTGTGCTCTATGTTTTCTGAAACAAAATGTGCTGTAAAATCGATGAAAATTTGCATAAAAATGAGAAAATTTGGAAATTGACATATTTTCTGACCTTCCTGTGACCTCTGTGTATCCCATAACTTAGAACCAATACTCATTTTGTGGCAGGGGTGATAAGAGGTTTTTAACTGATAAACTGACGTTGCATAATTCTAAAAGACACCTGAACTGGGGGCCAAAAAGGGGTCTTAGCCTATCTTGTCCTTTGAATGAACACTGGGCCTGATGTACTTTTTATCTCTGTAGGATCTCCTGTTTTGCCCAGACTTCACAGTTCAATCTAACAGAAAGTCAGGACCAGTAAGTATATATATATATATATATATATATATATATATATATATATATATATATATATATATATATATATATAACCCATTTGTGACATTTAAATGTATAATATTTAAATTTTATTGAGATTGATGAACCAACTTGTTATTTCTCAGGGGCATAAATCTCTTATGCACTTATACCAAGCTACAAATTGATATTTTTGGAATTCAGGGCATTTACTTGTATAAAAAAAATACAGTATTTTAATGTGCAAAGAATTATAACTGCATGCAAATGAAGATTAATTGTTTCATAAAGAGTATCCAAATAAAAATTATCCTTGGGAGGTTAGAATGGCTCTAATTTAGATCATTAACTTATAATGTGAAATCAGGAAGAACTCAAGTACCAAGAGAATTTAAGTTTTAATCATCCTTTCCCCTCCCAACACATGCAATTCACCTCCAGTAAGATTTATATATATATACGAGGGGTTATCAAAAAGTTCGTGGACTGACGCGATAAAATTAATAATATGTAGTCTTTGCTTACAAAATTTATGCGGAACATAAAACAACAAAAGTTTAAGAAATGTTGAAAATTTTAGCTTGATACGTTGATAATTTGCCAAATTATTCTAAAATTAAAAAGACTTTATGTGATCACCCGGCGCTGTCGCCGTTTAGTGTCATGACGTCCGCTTAACGTCATTGTTTCTTAATGTCCGCTCTCTCTACCTCATACACTTATCTTGATGAGATTACCTGAAGTTAAGTAAGGACTTAAACCCGTCTTATTTATATGAATTTACAATGTCGTGAGCAGCTGTTTTCAATGCATATAATATTGTAAATGGATCTTTATATGGGGAAAGATCCTCACTTGATTATGCCAGAATACTTAGCTTGTTGGAGTTCAATTTCTACCACACATGATCAACGTCACTTTTCGACGTGACTGACTTTTGACACCCTGACTACAAATTGAAACTAACTGTGCATATTTCATCTCTCTGAATCTTTTTGGGCATTAAAAAACTAGTACTCTGGATGCATTTTATTTTTCTGTAGCCAGTTTAAACATTCCTGAGGTCAATACCAGTTTTTCCAGGAGCGAAACTCTATAGAGTGTTTGAAAAAGAACCCCCCCCCCTTTTTGACGTTATTTTCAAGCCCATAATTGTTTGGACACTCCATATAAAATTTACGATAAAATTTCATAGAAATTACAGAATGGGGTAAAAATTGCAAATTTTACTGAACAAATGTGTCGTACCACAAGCCTGAATTAACGAGATTTTTTGATGACAAATACTCATATCTAACGAGTTTTTCTCAGTTACACTCAGGTAGGAAAAAACGTCATATTAGAGGTTGCGCCGCCTGGACATACCTTTGCTTACAAAAACACTAACAATTTATTAAAAAATAAAAATTATGATTTATGGTTTATTCTATAGATAAAAAAGATGATGCTAACTAAATGTGTAAAAATTCATTGATGTACCTAAAGCGCTTTTAATTTTATGACGCTAGTCCACGAACTTTTTGATAACCCCTCGTATATATATATATATATATATATATATATATATATATATATATATATATATATATATAGATAGATAGATAGATCTATTTAAAAATTATTTGAGGGGAAATCAATGCATTATATTTAATCTTTTAATATCTTTTCCTTTATGGTATGTAGAAAAAGAATCACTCTTCTTGAATCTTAGTTTGACCAATTAATATTGCAGGTATAACAGTATTTTACCTCTAATAGCAAGTTCAGCTCAAATTCTGTCATTCCGACTTTAATGTTAAGAAACAACAGTGCAATGCATCTTAGGTGTTTCCATGAATATGGGCAAAGAATTTCAATATATTATATGCTTTTTGGAATTTAGATGTTGTAGATCTATGAAACTCACCAAATTTCCAGAAAATCAAATGAACAGATAACTTTGTTTCTGAAAGAATAATTCAGATATTAAAATCAAGTAAAGAAAATTATAACACAACTGTGAAAAAATCCAAATAACTTGCGGATTTTATTTCCATTCATGGTAGTACACATATTATTCCATAAATAAAAACTCTTCAAATAACTCCCCACCCCCTTAACTTCCAGCCCATTATGACATCATTCATCCTCAGCCTACATGATAAGAAAAATTAACAGTCCCACTCAGGGTGACCCTCTCCCCCTCCAAAAACCAAGAGAGTTTGTTTTTTTTTATGTTTCTGAATATGTTTAAATTGACATCCATTTCTAATTTTCTTTCTATAAATATTGTCTGACATTGGAAATTAGAAATTAAAAAAAATAATGTACATGAGTTATTTTTGGTCTAATTAATTTTTCAGCACCTTATTCTTGCAAGAGTGAAGAGTAGTAGATTTTTTTTTAATCTTTCTTCAAACAAAGCAACAACAACAACAAACAAAAAACAAAATAAAAAAAAAACACAAACACACACAAAAATAGTTTCTTTTTGGATATCATATGAAAGTTGACCATTTTTACTTAAGGTGCTCATCAATAGAAGAGTCTTCTGATGACTGCAACCTAAGTTGATGTACTTGATTAATTTTATTCTGTAGGACAACCCTGAGGACATGGGCTCTATAGACAGTTGTGAATACATCTGGGAGGCAGGGGTGGGATTTGCCCACTCCCCTCCCCACAATCTTCATCATGATCAGCACAGAACAGAGATTATCAAACTGTTTCTTACCTGTTTCTCTGAAACAATGTATTTACCACCAATAGGTAGGCACATTAGTCAGCATTCATGGCCAAAAATTTTACATGATGACAGTAACATGTATATGCCCATAGTTACTAAATGCAGTGTGTAATACTTATACATAATGAAATTGTATGACTTTCATATATAGAAAATTATTCTGTGTCAAGTAAATTTTTAAGCACAAAATTTAAGGGAACCAATTTCACAGTTTTAATGAGATATTTACATATCTAAATATTTCTCTGTAATGTTAATTGTGATAAAAATTTTGACACTAATTTTCTCAGCTGATGCCCACACAGTTCCAAATCAGTGGATTCAATATTTCACATCAACAGACAACAGGTATGATGTGTTCTCATTGATATAAATGGTTAGTTGTGGATCATTAATCATTGCTCATGGCTGAAATTTTACCTTAAGCAAAATACAGATAGAACATATTTACTGATATTCAGTATGCTGACAAACAGTGAGATGACAAGCCTTATTGTTTGTTGATCACAGAAAAGGCTATCATGCACCTACAAAACTCCTAGAAATTTACTACTTTGCCTATGCTTTTACATGTACTTGTTGTAATGCTAAATGTACAGTATACTTCACTGTTTGACAATTTGGAATGACACAAGTATAAGCAGATCACATATTACTCTATATTTACATTTCCAAATATTTTTTCTTAAGATTCTTTGCAAATTAGAATGCTGTTCATTTTCTCATGAACTACCATGGATGAGCATGAATATCTTCATTGTTACGTCATAATACCATACTTGACATCAAAACTATAGTGCAAACTGTTTTGCTTTATAAATGACATTGATGAAAGTCAAATAAAAATTTCAAGAACAAAATGTATATATGTTTGAACATTGTAGACACGCTCTCCCATTGTTCACATCCCTCCTCAATATTGTCTGTGCCTATGATCCTGTGGGTTATGGCGTGCCATACAATCATCTCATGTTCACCGACTCACGAGAACAGCTGGTAGAGGGCGCCCTTCAAGTGTTGTGTGTTACCATGGAAAATGAGTCATCCAATCATAATGTGTCGGTGGATGGGACCTCTGGAGGCACTGCTATGGATGCTCAGAGTGATGTAATGAATAACAATAACTTTTACCATCTTTTTATTAGAGATGATTCATGTATCTAATACAGAATTCATGGAGAAAAGTGTCATAGTGTAAAATTTCTTTTTATTTCTTTAACTACTATTTCATTTGAAAGATTTCTGTCTTATTTCAGACTGGAGGTCCAGAGTTAATTTGTTTGAAAACTATCTATTTATATCTTATTTCAGACTGGAGGTCCAGATAATTTATTTGTAAACTATCTATCCAGAATCCACAGAGAAGAGGTACATAAGGACATGATATTAATTTTGTAAACAAATTCTTTGAATAACTCAATTCTCAAGACATCCATCTTTAAGTGTCATTTTCCTGAAGTGGATATACATGCAATAAATTTTATTGTAGGATTTTGCCTTTATACTAAGGGGAATAACTCGTCTACTGAATAATCCACTCACTCAGACTTATTTACCAGGCTCCTGCAAAAAAATTCAGTTTCATCAAGAGTTACTTGTCTTGTTCTGGAAAATGTGTGATATTAATAAGGTTAGTGTTGCTTATAAAGGTATAAGATGTACAAAATTTCCAGTGGAAATGGTCTGTATATTAATTAGAGTACAGTAAAACATGCACAGGGGGAAGTGCCTGGGACAAACATTTTTTGATTCATTTTAAATGTAAATTGCTATATCAGTAAAGTTCACAGTGCATTTTCAAAATCATGGGAAGGAATATCACTTCGCTATAAGCAAGATTTCAGTATAATTGTGTTTGCTATTGCTGTGATTTACTGTATTGCTAAAATGATTGTCATTTGGAATGACATATATAATTTTTTTCAGAAATTCATGTTTTATGTGCTGAAGAGCAGTGATGTGTTAGATGTGCTGGTCCCCATTCTGTACTTCCTAAATGATGCCAGGGCAGACCAGTGTAAGTATGCCAGAGATATTAAGAAAATTTACTCATCCTTTTAATTTGTAATAAATGATTGTTGTGTTGAGCAATTTTATTTTAATGAACTGCATGACTAAAACACTTTATTTCAACTTTGTGAAGTGGGAATGACTTATTTAAAAATAAATATATCTGACCCATATGTAAAGAAAATATGATAGTCTATAAAAATATATTAAGTAATCAAATTTAAGGATTTATTGTAATTTCAAATATCCAGTACACATTCAATCCTGTAATAGCATTGAGATAGTGACCACCTGTATTTAGTAACTTCCTGTCATGTGCGACTGTTAAATTTCCTCCCAAGAATTTTTTTCAATTATAATTCAACTGCATGCAACAACTCCCTGTCTAAGTCATCATGCAACCATAATTTCCCATTCCAGAGCAGTTTAAGACCCTGAATTTAATGGTTTATAGTAATAAAATGCTAAGTCCCCCCCCCCCCCCCCCAACTCTTATGCCCTTATTTGCAGAGAAATGTTTGCAAAAACATACTCATTTATAGAATATTTCACAGTGGGTTATTTTGCATCAAGTAGAAATTTAATATAAAAAATAAGAAGCATATGGAAAGTAACTATAAAATAACTTCAATGAAATGGTTTCAATTTTGAAAAGAGGTGTATGAAGTTTTTGAACATTTGTGCATTAAAAATCCTTGCATTTTCCTTGTGATAGTGTTTTGTTTTTTTCCTTTGGGACATAACCTGTCATAAGTAGTCTTTATTCTCAACACTGTCGTAAAAGAGTGAAACATAAAAAAACCCCAAACATTTCTTGGATTTTCTTTCAAAAATTATGCATACACTGAATGCAATTAGGAATAAAAAAAGAATTTGAACAAGAAAATATTTATTGAATATATTAAGAAAAGTGAAAATGATTCAAAAGAAGGACAGGAAACAAGAAAACAATTACACGTGTTACCATTTAGTATTCATGCATGTACTTTAAAATTGCTAGAAAATGATTCTCTGCTTTAAGAGACTAGCTCTAATATGTGACCCACTTGATAGGTAACTAAATACAGGTTTGACTGTAATAATGTAACCATTAATTGTTGCACTGAAATCAATTTCATGTTAATGCATGTAAATAGCTGTAATAATAATCAAAAACAAATACTTCCATTTCAAAAAGAGTATTGAGTTTATCTTTTTTGAAAAAAGAAAAAAAATTTTTTTGCAAAATATTTTGGTAAAATATTCTCAAAAAAAATTTCAGTAGGATGTGACCAAAATGATATGGGTAAGATTAACATTCGCTTTTAGTTTGGCCTTTAGAATCCACAAATTACTTTACACTATGGTCTTTTGTCAGTGGTGAATCATTGTTTTTAAAAAGGTAAATGTCTTCCCAATTTGTCAAGGAAATCAAAGTATTTTGACTGTAAGATGTCCCTTAATTTGTATTGAATTCAAAAGTAGAGTTTTGCATTTAAATTTAAAGAAGCATGCAGACAAGAGGCCTTTTTAATAAAGTATTAAAATGTAATTAGTAATTAAATCTTACTAAAATGAATAAACAATCTAATTGCATGTGTTGAATAAATAACTCCAATATTTACAATAGCTAGGATATTAACTTTTGCATACACATCTTTATTATCTTTAATATTTGTATATCATCTTAAACATTTGACAAAAAAAATGCACTTTTGTGATTTTTCACACATTCCACAATATACAATTGCTTTGGCTTTGTAATGGGGGTCTTATTTGATGTGTGAATTAAAAAGAATGGAGATGTTTGAGAAAGAGAAATAAGATTAGAATATCATTTTGAATGTATATAATTATGTGTTATCTTTTATATGCTTTCAGTAACACTTCTAGTCTTCATGTAATATTTTACACATTTCTAACCATTTTTCTCATTGTTGTAGCTCGAGTTGGTCTGATGCACATTGGAGTATTTATCCTACTCTTACTCAGTGGAGAGCGAAACTTTGGAGTCCGGTTAAACAAACCTTACTCAGTGCGAGTTCCTATGGATATACCAGTGTTCACAGGAACCCATGCTGATTTCCTCATTATTGTAAGTTTTCAGCTGATATAGGTGTATTGTTTTGAACATATTTTATTGACAATATACATGTCAAAGGGATTGGACACAAGTTCTAAAAACTTAAATAGTCCTCTCCCATACATAAAATCTTAATAGCCATACAACATTTACAAAGATTTACAATTTTACAATATTATACATGAATGTAGAAGAACAAAGACAATAGTTATTATTACTAAGGAATATCAATTGATATAATGATGATTATAATGACATCAATAACCATATTAAAATAGTTTCAAAAGGTAGTAAATACATTTACATGTAAGTGTTAATTGAAACGACCAGTATCCTGAATAAATTTTTGAACAATACCAAATATTTTTTCATTTTCCTGCAAAGATAATGATTCATCTCCCCATAGCAGTTTATACACATTTAACATTTTTATTAATTACAAGTAATGCATTCAACATTAAACGTCTAGCTTCAAGATATTTTCTACTCACAAAGAAATAATGATGACTATCCTCCTTATATCCACAAGAACAATTTGGATTTGTTATAATGTTACATCTATACAAGTCATGATTTAAAATACAACTGTGCCTTAATCTTGTATGTAAGATGTTCAAATACCTTTTGCCATATGATAGATACTTGGGAGGCTTGTCATTATTATTATTCAATTTTCTTTAAAAATTCCTATTGAAGTTATTTCCCTTGTTTCATTACTCAATGAATTCCATTTTCGAATAGTATCGGGGACAAATGACTTATTTAGTAAGTCAAGCCTGCATTTTGGTAAAAAATAATTACTTGAATTACGAGTATTATAATATGAAACACTGTTTCTAACTACTGGTATATTAAAGTGGGCTTTTAAAAAAAAAGTCACAGGCAGTAGACTTAGGTGTAGTTTTGAGGATAATTTTAATACATTATAGTTAATAACTACAGTGTTTAATTTTAAAAGGTTTTCCATAAGATCATTACCACTGGACATCAGAGATTACAGCCACTTTTTGATTGTCTTCTGACCATTATTGTCAATGGCAAGTATAAATAAATAGATATATTCTAGCTGATGAAACCATTTACCATTTAAATTTGTTCCATCATAAATTAAGTTCAACTTCTGTGAACTTTTTGTGATATGTACATGTGACTTTCTTTTGTTTAGTCGAAGTTTTACTATGAATGTTATTGATTGCTTATTTCTATTGAAAGTGAACGGTGTATGTTTTTTGCATTTTTAGTTTCCCCATATTTGAAAACTTTGTCAATGGTAGCCAGCACCAAACTACTGCACCTGTTGGAGGTAAAAAATTTATTAAAAATACTATGATAAATAAATGGACAAAAAAGTTTTTTTTTATGTAACACAGAAATTTATGATTAATGATTTGTTACCTTTAAATTTAAGTACTATGGAGTATTTACATGTATACTATAACTATAATTATTTGCTGTCTGTTTTATTTTTGGGCTGTTTATTTTAGGCTTTCAGCACACCCTGGTTCCTCTATGCCAGCCCAACAAATCATCACCTGGTTTTCTTCCTTCTGGAAGTTTTCAACAACATTATACAGTACCAATTTGATGGTATGAATGTTTTCCAATATATTTATATAACCTTTTGATTTACAAAGAAATGAGAACAGTTACTGGTACACGCATTTCAACATTTTTATTAAAAAATGTTTAAACATTTGTATTATAGAAGTGCCAATTCAATAAAAGAAATTTGCTGATATCAAGAAAGCTATGAGCAAAAATGATTTTTTTTAAAAATCTGCCAATATGTGCATGCAGGATGAAATAATGTTAAGTTTATATTGCTTGTGTAACAATTCCAGTAAATGATGGATAAAATTGAAAGGGTGCAGATTTTCCATGCAGTTACAAAGTATGGGTTTCTGGGAGAAATACTAAATAGCTAGTGAACCATTTTAGATAAATTTTACATACACTGTATTTTTAGGTCACCTGAGTCACTCAGGTGACCTATTGCTATCTCTTTTCGTCCGTCGTCGTTTGTCGGTCGTAAACTTTTGAACATTTTCAGCTTCTTCTCTGGAACCAGCAAACCAATTTCAACCAATTTTGGCATATAGCATCTATGGGTGAAGGGGAACAAAAATTGTGAAATTCGTGGCCCCTGCCCCCCTGGGGCCTGAGGGATGGGGCCAAAACCATCAAAATTAATGCAATCTTTAAAAATCTTCTTCTTTACTCCTGGACATCAAGCAGTCAAACTGTTGGCATGATTGTAATAAGCATTGAGCCCTGTACCAAAATTGTGAAATTCATGGCCCCAGGGTCAGGGGTTCTGGTGCTAGGGCGGGGCTATATAGATCATAAAGTGAAAGTGCATTATTTCTTAAAAAATCTTCTTCTCTACTCCTGGGTATTATTGAAACAAATTGAATACATAGTTATGATAAGCAAGGGTGACTCTACCAAAATTGTGAAATTCATAGCCCCAGGGTCAGGGGTTCTGGTGCTAGGGCGGGGCTATATAGATCATAAAGTGAAAGTGCATTATTTCTTAAAAAATCTTCTTCTCTACTCCTGGGTATTATTGAAACAAATTGAATACATAGTTATGATAAGCAAGGGTGACTCTACCAAAATTGTGAAATTCATGGCCCCAGGGTCAGGGGTTCTGGTGCTAGGGTGGGGCTATATAGATCATATAATGAAAGTGCATTATTTCTTTGAAAATCTTCTTCTCTACTCCTGGGTATTATTTAAACAAATTAAATACATAGTTATGATAAGCAAGAGTGACTCTACCAAAATTGTGAAATTCATGGCCCCAGGGTCAGGGGTTCTGGTGCTAGGGCGGGGCTATATAGATCATATAGTGAAAGTGCATTATTCTTTGAAAATCTTCTTCTCTTCTCCTGGGTATTATTTAAACAAATACATGGTTATGATAAGCAAGGTTGCCTCTTCCAAAATTGTGAAATTCATGGCCCCAGGGTCAGGGGTTCTGGTGCTAGGGCGGGGCTATATAGATCATATAATGAAAGTGCATTATTTCTTTGAAAATCTTCTTCTCTACTCCTGGGTATTATTTAAACAAATTAAATACATAGTTATGATAAGCAAGAGTGACTCTACCAAAATTGTGAAATTCATGGCCCCAGGGTCAGGGGTTCTGGTGCTAGGGCGGGGCTATATAGATCATATAGTGAAAGTGCATTATTCTTTGAAAATCTTCTTCTCTTCTCCTGGGTATTATTTAAACAAATACATGGTTATGATAAGCAAGGTTGCCTCTTCCAAAATTGTGAATTTCATGACCCCTGGATCAGAGGTTCTGATATTAGGGCCGGGCTCTATTTATTATATAGTGAAAATGCATTAATGCTTTAAAAATCTTCTCTGCACCTGGGCATATCAGAGGCAAAAAGAGTAAAAGTTTTAATAAGGAAGGGTATTTTTACCAGATTTTTGAACATCAGAACCATTTGATCAACTGTTCTGGTCCAGGCCAGGGCTCTATTAATTTGTATTCTACTGAGAGGAGTTATTCCCCTTTGCCATTTACTTGTGATAATTAATCACTGTAAATAATGTACTTGAAAGGTTAATAGAGTAAGAGAATTATGCAAGAATTTTTATTGTATAATACAAAAAGTACTTTCATAGTTTTAATGATCAGGTAGGCTTGTAAGTAACAGATAAATAAAAATGAGACAAAAATAACTTGTCTTATTAAATGTTCATCAAAGACCAAGAGAGGCCAATGTAAGAGATTTCAACAAGGAATTAAAAGAGTACAGAAGCACTGATTATAAGTTTGTTTATGTACTGTCTGGTGAGAGTGATAAATGGGAAACAAATTAGAACCTAATTTATGTACTGTTAATGAACACTAGACTAATTATTTTGTTGATCCTGATCACCCTATTTTTCTTGCTTTTGGGCAACAAAGCTTCACCTTTCAGTTCATTTTATACTCTATGGATCCTCTAAATTGTTGTATTATACTCAGGTGACCGTTAAGGCCCTTGGGCCTCTTGTTTTTTAATTCCAGGCAACTGCAATCTTGTATACACAATCATAAGAAAAAGAAATGTATTTCATCAGCTGGCAAACTTGCCTACTGAACATGCCACCATAGCAAAGGCTCTCAGCAAGAGGGGAAAGAAGTTTGTTCAACTGACCCCTGAGAGTGGGAAAGATCTCCCCACTATGGAGGGGGCTATACCTGCCATGGAGGCAGAGCCAGGGACCCTCAAGACAACATTAGCTGCCACACCCAGTAAGTAACCATTCAATTCACACATTTTTCATACATTTCTAAAATTAAGCTTGGAAATGTTCAATGCACAGCAGTTTTAAAAATTCTTCAATCTGAAAAAAAAATATATATTAATTTTTTAAAAATATATTTCAATAACTATCTTTTAAAAATCTTCTCAAGAACCACAAAGCCAGGGAAATTGAAACTCATGTGGAAGCATCCTCAGGTAGTGTAGATTCAAATTTGTTCAAATCATGACCCCCGGGGGTAGGGCGGGGCCACAATGGAGGATCTAAGTTTAACATAGAAATATATAGGAAAAACCTTCAAAAATCTTCTTTTCAAGAACAGCAAAGCCATGATAAGTCATATTTATATGGAAGCATCCCCAGGTAGTGTAGATTCAAGTTTGTTCAAATCATGACCCCCGGGGGTAGGGCGGGGCCACAATGGAGGATCAAAGTTTTACATAGAAATATATAGGAAAAACCTTTAAAAATCTTCTTCTCAGGAACAGCAAAGCCCTAATTGCTCATATTTATATGGAAGCATCCTCAGGTAGTGGAGATTCAAATTGGTTCAAATCATGACCCTCGGGGGTAGGGCGGGGCCACAATGGAGGATCTAAGTTAAACATAGAAATATATAGGAAAAACCTTCAAAAATCTTCTTTTCAAGAATAGCAAAGCCATGATAAGTCATATTTATATGGAAGCATCTCCAGGTAGTGTAGATTCAAGTTTGTTCAAATCAGGACCCCCGGTGGTAGGGCGGGGCCACAATGGAGGATCAAAGTTTTACATAGAAATATATAGGAAAAACCTTTAAAAATCTTCTTCTCAAGAACAGCAAAGCCCTTATTGGTCATATTTATATGGAAGCATCCTGAGGTAGTGTAGATTCAAGTTTGTTCAAATCATGACCCTCGGGGGTAGGGCGGGGCCACAATGGAGGATCTAAGTTTAACATAGAAATATATAGGAAAAACCTTTAAAAATCTTCTTCTCAAGAACAGCAAAGCCATGATGAGTCATATTTATATGGAAGCATCCTCAGGTAGTGGAGATTCAAGTTTGTTCAAATCATGACCCCGGGGGATAGGGCGGGTCCACAATGGAGGATCAAAGTTTTACATAGAAATATATATGAAAAATCTTTAAAAATCTTCTTCTCAGGAACAGCAAAGCCCTAAGAGATTATATTTATCTGGAAGTATCCTCAGGTAGTGTAGATTTAAGTTTGTTCAAATCATGACCCCCTGGGGTAGGGCGGGGCCACAATGGAGGATCAATGTCTGAAATAGAAATATATAGGAAGGTATCTTTTGATGAAGAACTGCAAAGCCATGATTAGTCATTTTGATATGGAAGCATCCTCAGGTAGTGTAGATTCAAGTTTGTTAAAATGATGACCCCCGGGGATAGGGATGGGCCACAATGGGGGATCAAAAATTTTTTACATAGGAACATATTGGAAAATATCTTCTTCTCAAGAAATGAAAATCATGTTTAGTCATTTTGATATGGAAGCATCCTCAGGTAGTGTAAATTCAATTTTTTTTTCAAATGATAACCCCCAGGGGTAGGGTGGGGCCCAATGGGGATCAAAAGTTTTACATAAGAACACATAGGAAAAATATTTCTTCTCAAGAACAGAAAAGCTATGTTTAGTCATATTGATATGGAAGCATCCTCGGGTAGTGTAGATTCAAGTTTGTTCAAATGATGACCTCTGGGATAGGGAGGAGCCACAATGGGGGATCAAAATTTTACAAAGGAATGTATGGGAAATTTTTTTTTAAAATCTTCTCAAGTACAACAAAGCCATTTGTTATATTGACATGGAAGCATCATCAGGTAGTTTTAAATTCACCCCCCCCCCCCCAACCCCCAGTAATCTTTTCAATACTGAACTGATTTGTGTCTAGATAATGTGCTCAGGTGAGCGATGTGGCCCATGGGCCTCTTGTTTTAATTATGGTTGCAATTTATTACCACTATATACAAGTTACGGTACTCTTTTCTATTAATCCATCTACCCTCTTATCTGTTTACCCTCATAAATTATAGTCTTTAAAATTTAAGTTAAATTAGAAACTGTAAAAAATTCAAAACAAACAAATTTATATACATGTAGGTGATTACATAATAATTTAACTTGTCATGCTCATTGTGTATTTTACTAATTTCAATCAAAATTTAAATATATATATATATATATAAATAGATGTTGCAATCAGGGCTTTCAAAAAGATTAGAAACAGTGGTACTTTTATTGGAGGTACCTTGTACAAGTAATTTTAATTAAAAATATGTTCTAGAATTTTTCTCCATCAAATATTTATGCTGGTATAATCATGATTTCAGTCGGGTAAAAGTACCAGGTACAGACAGATTTTGAAAGGCCTGCACAATATAAAAAATATTTTTTGACTACAGTTCATTACCTTGACCTGATATTTGATAGCATGTACATATAAAATACATATCTAAAACTGTATTGCTTTTCAGTAAAAAAAAAATAGTAACATTTTCTCTATTTATTCTTAACAAATGCATCATACATGCCATGTACAACTTCTGTTTTCATTCTTTTGTGAACATTTTATAACTTTTCTCTTAGTATTTAAGCATACTTTTCCATAGTAATAATTTTCTTAAACTAGATTTTATTTTTTCAAGTTAAACTTAGACCAGAGCTAAAAAGTAAGTGTTTCACTAGACTTAGCTCATCTAAATCTGTCTTTATCAGCATCTTGGCTTGCTATTGTTAATAACACATGGATTTTATTTTCCTGCAATGAGATCAGAACTTATCATCACAATTTGACATGGACTGAATGGAATACAATTAAAATGTGAAGCATTTGTTATGCAGTTTCTGCTCTCACATTTCTTTACCATGCCCAGGTTAAAAGTAACTTAATTCTCTTTTTAAGATTAGACCTCTTCATTAACAACTTTACTTTAAACTCTTAAACTAGTTTTTTTTAATGTATTTTCTGTAAGAATTTCTTTTTCATGTCTTCAACAACTGCATGTACATCCATGTAAATATGCATTGGTCTCTTATTTAGCCAAGTTGCAAATTTCCCCATGTTCTCTTGGCATAAGAATGATATCAGGTAAATTGACAACACTAGCCTAAAGATCAAGGTCACTAAATCACTCACCATATAACAAGTTTGATATTCATATAAAGTTTACAACTAATAAAACATGAAACCAAAGCACTAGGCAGTGAGATCTTCACCAGATACACAATACTTCCCCCTGTCCTGCAGAAAATATGTCCATGCAAAATTTGCAACTTAGCAAATATTTTATATGCTCTTTGCAGTTAGTTTTGTTTTCTGTGTTGATGAGCATAATCACTAACAAGTTTGGCTTTGATTTGATAATAATGGTAAAAAAATATATATTGCAAATTGTAGTTGGGTCTTGGTAATTTGTAATGAACTGAGAGTCAAAGATAACAGAAGTGAAGACACTCATCTCTTTTATAAGAAATACAGAAATATGTATACACTATCATTTATACACCATTATGTTTTTGTCTGCATCTTTTAGACTTAAGTTATTAAGAAAATCAACAAAATTAAATGAAAGTGACAAAAAAAATTTATTTTCACAATTCCTTGTATTAAAATATTAAATGGTAGATGTTTGGTACATATGCACTCTCTTTTTTCTCATGAAGATTTTTTTCTATATTGTATATTAAGTGTATTAAGATAGGTGAGATTTTGTACAGACATAATCTGATACAAGCAGTTCTTGGTAGTCCTATTATGACATGTGAAAATATTTGTTACAGGACTGGATAAGATGACAGAAAAAGCAGCACCGGATGATGGTCACTCAGAGCTCACACTGAAAGAGCTGGCTACCTCCACAGGCAATATCAATATCCAGCCTCCCTCTGAAATCCAGGACCCAGACTCCCCGGAACACAAAAATCCCAAGACAAAGTCATCCAGATCTGTTCCTGTTAGTAGTAATAATAATTATTTGTAGGAATTTTAGATGTAAAAAAGTAATATTGAAAAGGGGGGGGGGGGGGTTACAAACTATAAGGTCTTCTGAAATGTTTTAGAATGTACATCTGTATTGAAGCTTCTCTTAACCAGACATGAACCAGGACCAAACTATAACTTGATTATGTAGCATCTGAATTTAGACATACATGTCAGAGAATTTTAATATTTGGTACCAAATGTATTCAGGATTGCATGTAATCTGATTGAGGCAATTTTTTTCACCGTGAACAATGTTCTTCACACAGAATTCCCCACCAGCAAGTCCCACAGGGTCAGAGACAGCAGCCCGGCCACCACTTGCCAGGACCTCCTCCACATCAAGCTCTGGGGGATCCTGGGTGGCCACACCAGAATGGGTAGGTTATATACACATGAAGAAGGCTAAATTTCCTTTGCTTTAAGATTTACTAAATTGATTGGGTATATAAAATAAAAAAGTGCAATATTAATGAATTCCTATGTTTTATACCAGTGTGCTTTTAGAATATTTTTACTTCAAAGTAAAGTAATAATGGATCAAGAGAAAATTGAATGTATGGGAGAGGTACTTGTATTCCATTAGCATTTATATCTATATCTTCATTCTATATTATTAGTCAGAACATGCGTTTTGAATGCAATTTTTGATTTGTTCTGTTTGGCATTTTAAAAATTGATTGATGTGTTATGCATTTATCTGTTCGAAAATTACGTGTACACTGTTGTTCAAAGAAAGACGGTCAGAGAAGAATATAACATATGTCTCAATTTTTCTATGTCTGAATATATACCTGCTATTTTATTAAAATTACAAATCATATTTGAGTTGAAAGTTTATATTTTAATGTAGAGTAAAATGATGTCTATTTGTAGGTCCAATCTTGGAAACAGAAGCTGCCTCTCCAGACCATTATGAGAATGCTGCAGGTGCTTGTACCACAAGTCGAGAAGATCTGTATAGACAAGTGAGTTTATTTAATTATACGAGTTATTGCAGCAGTTCCAGTGCTGGTTATAATTTCATGTTTGTGAAGCTTATAGTACATTGTATTGGTATCAGTCCACATAACCTGATTTATTATATTATTTATTCTTATTCCCTTAACTTTTTACCCTGCAGAGGATTGACGGATGAGAGTGAGATCCTCAAGTTTCTCCAGCATGGAACATTGGTGGGGCTACTCCCAGTACCACACCCCATCCTAATAAGGAAGTACCAAGCAAACAGTGGCACCACCATGTGGTTCCGTACCTACTTGTGGGGAGTCATATATCTCAGGTGAGTTTCTGCAATGACTAACATCTTTCTGTCTCATATGGCACATTGAAAAGATTACTGTTTGGTAGAACTTTTAACAGATATAATTGGCAATATTTCCTTTTGCAGAAATGTTGACCCACCAATATGGTATGATACAAATGTTAAACTGTTTGAGATCCAGCGCATATAAGTGTTACAAAAGGAAGAAAAAAATCTGATCAAAAAGAAAAACTTTGCCAAAAGGAGTTGGTTTTAAGGGTCACAAAGCATATTGACCGCTAAAGATCTGTAATAGCCAATCATGGCATTATTCTAAATGTAGTGTGTAACAATATTGTGACATATAATATCTACATGCATGCTTCTTTCTCAGAGAGGAAAATCATTACCTGTAAACAGTTCTTTATTAACATGAAACTGAGGTATTCCTACGTCAAAACTCTCATGACATTATGTTATGACATTTGAAATATCCGTATTTTATTTCTATACAGTGTTGTAAAGAATTGTATAATGAATTGAGCAGATGATGACAATCTGTATTTGTTAATCTTGCAAAGAATGAGAAAACTGTAAAATTTTGTATGCTTTCTGTGATATTTTTTCAATGGCATTCCTTAAATTATCAGTGTAATGGGGAAAAATTGCTAACTGAGAACTGCATGTAGATTCCTTGTTATATATGGCACATGTAATATCAATTATTTCAATACAGATATGCTTTGCAAATTTAAATGTATGATTAATATAGAGTAAATAGATCTCAAATGTTATGAGATCTTGCATCGTTGGATACCCACGGGTGATCTTGTCTTTTACTCACCACCCATGATAAGTAAAAGACGAGATCACCCGTTGGTATCCGACGATCGAGATCTTCATACAGGAAGAACATTTAGAAACACTGATCTATAAATGTATTATAAAGGGTGCATTTAGAAATTTTCAAATCAAATCCAAATGATTTTAGAATTTTATTTTCTTTCCAAATTGTACTATTAAATGTATGCTTTGTAAATTAAATAATACATTGGCCTATATGTTGGTTACATTTTTCAATTAAATGGTTAAAAATGGATTACAGTATTTCTAAAGAGAGATCCATGGACAGATTGCAATTCTAGCCACTGGTTACTAGAAAATATTAATAGAGTTATTAAATGATACCAAAGTAACTCTTGAAAATGAGCTCTTGTGCAATATTGTAAAATGGACATATATATTTTTTATTAGTCCAAGGAATAATTCTGGATTATGGTTAATTTAAAAAAGATGTAGAATTTGGGGTTAGATCCTATCTCTGATCCCCCTTAATTTTTTTCAGAAATCATTGATCCTTTCAGTATTTGTCTAAAGGAAGAGAATGTCAAGATTAATTTAAAGGAAAAGATACAAAATAAATAATATTATGATCGGAGATTCTCAGAGAATTTTGTTAGAGTTGATGTTCTTTAGTCTAAAAGTGCGTGGAAATCCAAGTTAAGCCATGAGAGTATTTCTTCAAATTTTTGTTTGGCACGTTTCAAGCAGTTAAGTACTTGATGAAAGAATTTTGTAAAAATCTACCCAGACTACTTCATTTTATTTGAGTGAAAATCTGAGTCAAGCCATGCAGGTACACATTACCAAATCATACTTTTAAAGTTTAGAGCTAGAAAATGAAAGAAGTAAGATATTTCAATATTAAGTACATATATTAGCTTAATCTGTAATGCTTGTATATAAATTTATGATGTACATTGGTACATTTCATAAAGTTGTACATTTTGTTTAATTTAATTTCTGAGGGGTTTAACTGCATTGAGGGTATTTGTGTATTCCTGGTATTTCTGTTATAGGAACTTATTGAAGATATACGTTTTTAGTGATAGTGAAAGTGTACTTGGGCAAATGATGTGCAATTGAATTTTAAAAAAAAATGTAACAAAATATGATATAAAGATAATGTTAATGTTTTTGTTATAGTGTAATATATTTATGTAAAATGTATATGAATTGGTGTCTAAATCGTAAGGGAAAATAAAGATTTCATTATGAAGAAATAGTATGTGTTCTTGGAAAATTTTTGAAAGTCGTTGAATAACAAAAATTTATATTTTAATCTGTTAATCTCAGTTGAATATATTTGATTTCGCCCCCCTCGGTTCTTTTTCTGCACATGCACATGGTGGTATATTTCTGAAAAGTCTTAACAAAAGCATCACCACGTTGGTAGGAATTCATGATACAACATACATTGATGTTGTATGGTAGGGCATTATGAAGTAAGTGTAATTAATTTTAAGTCATTAGAAAATGGATAATAGTCATTCAATGAAGTTTGGATGGAACTTTGTGTGAACGTGAACGCAGCTACACTTCGCATGTATTTAAACTGAAGTCATTTCGTCAGGTGCCAGTCAAGTAGACCTTAGTGCGGAATTAATCAATTTTCTTGTTGTTAGTAATAGAGGATTTTTGCTCGTTATCCCTGTAATGTAAATTGAACATCCATGTGATCCCCTACCTCGACACTAAATGTTTTATACATCGATTATTGGAGAAAATGCTCAAACTTAGGACTTGTAATTTTTTTCCTTGAGTTCTTTTATATTAGAAATCCTTGAAGTTTTCTCCCTGAGAGAGACTTGTCAAACTTTCAGTATATCTTGGAAATTGTTGTTAAATTTTATTGAAATCAGTAGCCAGGTTAGGTATTCTAATGTTGTGCAAGGGTTTTGCTAATTATAACGATTGTTTTATAACTTATCTCCCAAGGGTGTGCGTATTTTTGAGATGAACTGTGGCCTAGAATAAGCCATAAAACAATTCAGAGCTGTTTGTTTACAAGCGGATTTAGTTTCTTTCAACATCAAGCGATTATTTGGGGGCATTTAAACAGAAAAGTCGCGATAAAATTACTTAAATACCATTATCATGGACATCAAAAATGCTAGCCATTCACACGACGGAACACAATCACTCATCATTGTAAATCTACGGGGTAAAGATTTACAATCAAATCTTACAAATAATGTTTGTTAAATCTTAAACTCTATCCTACTTCAATATCTTTTGAACCGAGAAAAAATTAACAGAAAGAAATATTGTTTTTAATTACTAGAAATATTACGGTCAGTTTTGTAGATAGTGCCACCCCCGCCCCTTTCGAACAAACCGAAAGGCATTTTTTACACAAAGAACAAAATTACGAAACAGTAAAACGCAGAGAAGTAAAATCTTGTCCAGTTTTATATTGATAGTGTTTACTTGGTAGATGCAATTTCATGATTAACGTCCATTAAAAAACAGAATACTGTAAAGACGAACGTGATGTAGATTAAAAATAAAATACCCGTGCTATTACGCATGTATATAATTAGATTACTGAGGAGAGATGTCCAAAATGATGGCCTCAGTGAAAAGAAGGCACATCTTTGAATCAGAACCCAGGATTTATTAATTAAATTAAAAGAAATTTTTAATAAGTGTTGCATAATTCCGCCTCCTACCTGCATACAAATTGTTAGACCATTATTTACACACTGGAATTTCTAAGGATGTTTCCGTTTTACCCGATCCTGACAAGGAGCACACGGCGAGTGTGACCGGTCGACAGGGGATGCTTATTCCTCCATGGCACTTGATCCCGCCTCTGATGTTTTTGGAGGTCCGCGTTTGCTCTGCTCCAGATTTGTAATATTTAAACGGACAATGTGCCTGTTTGTTTTCTCCATATTTTATGCAAGGTAGATTTTACAGTGTGTTAACATGCAAGACAGTTATGTGTACAAGTAAGTTATCAATCTTTTTAGAGAGTCTGGCTTTAATATGAATAATGGCATATTTCTGCCCCTATATGCAAGTTATTTTACTATAGATTATGTCAACATGTAAGATAATTGTATCAACATGCACATAAAAATGTCAACAAGCAATATAACTATGTCGACATGTTGACATGCAAGGAATAAGAATTTGTAAAGTTTTCAATTATCGCCCACATGTGACTGCCATTAACATGCTAGATGCATAGATACTTATTTATGTCGGCATGCTATTAATTTATGTTTACCTTCATTTTATTTATGTTGACATGCAACTTATTTATGCTTATTTGTAATGTGTAATTGATATGCGAGATAAATATGTTGACATGCAACTTGCTTAAATGTTGACATTCAACTTACATGTTTTTATGGTAACATGCAAAATAAGTTGAAGGACCACAATAATAAGTTGCATGTCAAAATAAATATAAGCTTATTTCAAAATAAAAAGTTTCATGTCAACTTAAATAAGTTCCATGTCAACATAAATGAGTTGCATGTCGTCTTTGTCTTAAACTTTTTTTTTTTATATTTTGATCTTCTTCTTCAGAACAACTGGGCAAATTTAAATCAATCTTGGCACAGGGTATCCTTGGGTAAAAGGGATTCAATTTTATTCAAATGAAGGGCCAGGTCCTATTCCAAGTGGAGATAATTAAGAAATAATGAAAATTCGGTTACGTCATTTCAATGCCTTCTTCTCAGGAACCACTAGGCCAGAAAAGAAGAAACTTATGTTAAAGCTTCCTGAATGGTGTAAATTCAAATTTATTCAAACCATGACCCCCGGGGGGAAGGGAGGGGCCACAACGGGTGATCAAAGTTTTACGTAGGAATGCAGAGGAAAAAATCTTTTAATATTTTCTCAAAAACACCAAATCCATGATTAGTCATATTGATATGGAAGCATTTTCAGGTAGTGTAGATTCAAGTTTGTTCAAATCATGACCCCGCAGGTAGGGAGGGGCCACAGTGGACTATCAAAGTTTTACATGGAAATATATAGGAAAAATCTTTTTTTTTAAAAATCTTCTCAAGAACAGCAAAGCCATCTTCAGGCGTATTTATACAGAAGCATTCTCAGGTAGTGTAGATTCAAGTTTGTTCAAATCATCACATCGGGAGTAGGATGGAGCCATAATATTTTATCTAAGTTTTACATTTGAATTATATATAGGGAGAAAAATCTGCTGATAAAGAAGAGAAGGGAAATAGTGACTCAGGTGAGCGTTGTGAAGCATGGGTCTCTTGTCATTTATTTGTCAACATGCGGGGTAGTTATGATCATATTGGCATGCAATCATATACTTTTTTAAACTCGCATTTTGGCGTAAATAAGTCATATGTCAACACAGTTATGCTGCATGTCGACATAACTAATTCTCAAGTTGACATAAATAAGTCGTATATCAACCTAATTATGGCATAATTATAAGATGTCATATACTGGTATGTTAGTCGTTTAATTTACTAATTTTAAAATCAGATTTCTTTAAAAAGATTGGTAATTTGATTGCATGTCAACTTATTATTTTATATGAAGGCATAATCATCTTGCATGTTAA